CGCTAGTTGGTGGTCAGACTCACTGGTGGCTCTAAAGCATTATATATGAATTTTTGAGAACCCAATAACTTTTGCATAGACTCCTCTATTTTTGTTAAAGAAATAAATAAAATATTTATATAAATATTTGAATTATTGTGAACCCAATTTTTATTGTATATTATTTTGAGATTACGATAGGAGCTCATCAAAGGCGAATTCAGGATTTAAACTCTATGAGTTTAAGTTTTAAGGTTTTTAAAATTGAACACATTATATCAATTTTATGTAATGTCCAATCAAATGATGACATGTGTACCTGTTAATCAATTTTAAAATTATTTTTGTAACTTCCACTTGCCCTTAAGAGAGTGTGCACACTCTCTACGCCACGTCAGCGCTTAGGGTGGTGTTTATTACACTTTAAAATAGTTCAGGAGGGTAATAGGACCCCCGAAAAGAAAAAGTGTGTAGTTGATAATATGGTCATAGGTCGGGGAGGATTTTATGCATTATCCCTATTTTTTAAGTTATGGGTTTATATTTACTAATTTTGTAATTTTAATGAATTTTTGAATATAAACTTTTACTTTCGCTTCGAAAGTTATGGATTCAGTTGAACCCATAACTAGCACACTCTACATCCGTCCCTGAAACTCATACACTTCAAATTCTAAATCCTCCCGGCTGAGGCTATCATAACTTAAATAGTAAAAGTTTCCGATAAAACCACCTTTCCATTTACTAAACAAAAGCTNCATTTAAGACCAACCAAATAAGATATATTTCTTTATTCTCTTTATATGAATTATTATAACACTTAGTGGGATGATCAAAGTTTCGCAATATGTAGTAGAAGAATCCTTTGGTACAAATGGATAAAACATTATCTTCTTCTACTTGTTCATTTCTTGATTGGAATCATTGGAATAAAGAATCGAAAAGAAGTGAAAGTTTGAGATAACGATTTTTTCTCCCTCTTTTTGAACCCTAAAGTTGATAGAGACGTGACTTGTATATACTATATTCTCTCTGTCTCAAATTATCTGCCGTATTTCTCTTTTACACGTTCTTTAAGAAAATATTAAATATAATATATTTTGACTATCTTACCCTTATTTATATTTTAAAATATAATTTTTCTTCTTTAATATTTTAGTCATAATTGATCAAGTGTTTGTAATCTTCAAAGATAATTATTATTAATGGTAAAAAAAAAATAATTTTATTTTGAACTTTTAAAATGACAAACAATTCAAGATAACTATTTTTAATAACCACGACCGATGATATGAGGTGGAAGGAGTAGTGATTAATAATGTTATCATTTTATGTACTTAGTCCAAAGTTTTAGAAACAAGAAATAATTTTCTTGTTGCCACTTGGATAAAAGATAGTGAAGAGGGTTGTGGGGGTCATTTTTGGGAAAGACACATCTTCTCTTATATTGAGCGAAGGTTTCTTCTTAGAATAGACACGTAAGAGAGTAGAACAAAGAAATGGGTCCATGGCTTAAATGGGATATATAATTGGTGACAAAATGGACGTGCATGAATTTGAGTTGGAACAATTATATGTACCATCAAGTAGCCCACTGGAATACTATCCGTTTTGGTCTAAGTCTGCACGGATTTAAAAAGTATTACTAAGATCTAAAATTTGTTTACTTATGTATTCACCATATTTTTCGTATTTTGTCAATGTGGAATTCAGCTAAAATATCACATGTTCTAAATAATATCATTTTTTTTCTTTCGTCATTAATTTGGCATTCGAAATTTTCTGATTCAATGACTAATTTGAATTAGTGTGAAAATCTCATGAACATTGATAGAGCTCAGTTAGAAATCATAAGGTTATAAGAGCCCGTTTGGATTAGCTGATTGTAAATAGTTGATAAACTTGAAGTGCTGAAAAATATTTTTAAATATTGAAACTGATTGTTTAAATAAGCATTTACGTGTTTGGATAGACGTGCTGAAACTGATAATAAGCAGTTAGTGTGTTTGGTAGAAAAAAGCTGATAAGTTGTTCTTTTATTAAAATGACTAAAATATCCTTAAAAACTTTACAAAAGATTATAAATTAAAAAGTTTCTTTTGTAAAGAAACAAACAAACAATAAATATGGAATTAAAATAAAGTTAGAAAATTTATTTTGGGAAAAAATATTTTGTGAATTAGAAAATATTATTAAGGGTAAACTAGTAAAAGCCTTGGTCTAATTAAAAGTACTTATAAGCTTAAAACCATAAGTTGGGGGTGACCAACTTATGACTTATGGCGGATTTTAGTTTATAAGCACTTTGGGTGTTTACCACATGCATAGATAAGCCAAAAGGTGCTTATAAGTCAGTTTAACCAGCTTATAAGCTTAGCCAAACACCCTCTAAGTCATGCATGAAATTGTGCTCCGAAATAATCTGAGAATGAGTTAAGTTTTATTCGCTGACAATGTAAACAAAAATTATACCATAGCTTACTTAACAACTAATTATAAGCAATAGTTTTGGGTGGATAACATAAACATAGGATAGATAATATGGTAAAATCATTCAAATTAAATTGATGGTGTAAAGATTCTTTACTATTCTGTTAGGCAAAAGTATGTGCGGAGGGTTAGAGAATTAGAGTCTCTTAATGAAAAGAAAATGGGTCGAGTCCTATTGTTTTGGACTTAGGCAATCTTTCAAGATATAAAAGGATAAACCAAAATTCAAAATAACAATTAAAATGCATAAAATATTTATAATTATTTACAAAAAAATATTATATTGTATATAAATAATTATTAAATTTTGTATATAATTAGTCGGTTTGGTTCGGTTTATTTTTTGATTTTTTAAAATAGAACCAAAATCAAACCAAATATTATCGGTTTTTCAAATTTAAAACCAAAACCAATTCAAATTAAGAAAAATATCGGTTTACTTAAATCGGTTTGGTTCGGTTTTTGGTTTGGATCGGTTTTCCGTGAAACCGTGAACACCCCTACTTATGCTGGAACTCCATTATATTATGCTGGACTTATGCTGGAACTCCAGTATATATAATATACTAGAGTATTTTTCGGATTTTGAACAATGTTTTCGTTCAAATTTGTCTTTACATAAAAATTGACTAAATTTTGATTACTTGTGAAAACGTGGCTGTTTTTGAATAATCACTTATAAATCTAACTATTTTTGAATTTCTCTCCTCAAATTTATAGCTTATGGTCTTAAACCCTAACTCCAATCCAACAATACAAGGGGGGAAATACTTTCTACGAGGGATTTCTTCGTTCTCATGATTCTATATGAGACGTCTAGTTAAAGATAGTGTAAAAATATATCTCATCCATCATACTATACCACTGGACGCTTAGTAATATGTTTAATCGAAATTACATATAAAAATCCGTAAACTGTTAGTGAATTAAATAATATCATTTGCGTATTGATTAATTTGGTGCTAATTCACCACTTCCACTTTTCCTTTTGGTTCTTTGTTTTGATAATACAACGCAATTTCTAGAACATTCCGAAATGACCTTATGTGTATAATCCTCCTAAAATATCTAAAGAAGATTGAGAGAAGGGAATAGAGAGGTGTTCCTCTTGGACTCTTATGTTGATATTTTGTTAAATCCACTAATAACTTTTGGTTATATTGTGGTACATATTAGGCGGGCTAAGATTTAAGTTTATGAGTTCCGAATAAGTATTAAATTTATAGCTCGTCTTCGTTACTGAATTCGTAATAAAAAATTTATAATAAATTTAATGAATTTTTAATATAAATACATGGTCTACGCAAAAGCTAACTGGGTTCATTCGAACCTGTACCCAATTCTCTTTAAGTCAACCGAGCTTCTACTCTAAGAAAAAAGATAAATCATCATATCAGAATTTGGAAAAGCATTATATGAGGCAACTTACTAATTTTTTTCTGTGAAATGGACAATTTTTCAAATTTAAAAAGTTGCAAAAATTTAATAAAAAATCTCAAACATTGAGCAATAATCCAAATGACAAAGATGAGAATACTTCAGCCAATGACACTTTTGCTTAGTGCCATCAAATGTGAGTTTAGCCTAATTTTAATATTTCTATTCTTGTTGTTTGACGAAAAAAAAAGAGCATAACCATACTTAAGTGGAAGATAGTGAGGTAAAAGCTAAGAAGTCTAAAGAGATTATTACTTATAATAAAGAAAGACTATGATTTAGTTGTAAACGTCTATTTAAGAGAGGAAAGCGCTTCCTATAAAAAAATTTCTTTAATTTAGGACTCGAATCTAAAACTTTAGACTCTCATTTATCCTAGGCCACACTCATTATTGATCCCGTATATGAGTTTAAGAATTTGAATAATATTGAATGTAAGTACTTGCTATGTTTCATTTTAAATGATACTGTTAATATGTTTAAAAAGAAAACAAATATTAGTAGCATACACAAAAAAGTATCTATCGAACTTGTGATCTTAAATGTCATAATATTTTTATGATTCGATGAATTAAAATATTATTTTAAAATTGAAGTAAAGGAAAAAAAAAAGATATATTATAATCCATAAAGAAAACATGGAAGGAAGGAAAACGACAAATTAAAGGGCAATTCGGTGCACGAAACATATCGCATTCATGGTGAATTCGAGAAATGACTGCATTCCAAGAGGGGCTGATATAGACAGCCTACCCAAGAGGTGAACCCATGATTTGAAGGTCGGGGTGCACTTTTAAATTCAACCAAAATCTGTTTTATATAGAGGGTTCCCATTACTAATATATCATTATTTTCTAACGATATATATATGTATACATGAAATTTTTGCTGAACTTTATTGGTGCCGATAACCTCTTTCAGTATAATATAGATCCGCCTCTTGCATATCCGAATACAAGTACTCATGACCTAGAACGCCTCTTGCATATCCTAATACAAGTACCCCCGACCTATAAGTTATAATGAGATAACTTTATTGTTGCTCCGTCCAAAACAAGACAATTTGTGGTGTGTATAAATAGGAGAGAGTCATTGGAGGTGAACATCATCAGCTTTATTAACACTGTCCCAGTCCTTTAGGATCCTATGAATCTCTTCTTTCAACTCCACCCTTAAAAAGAACTACTCCTCCCTTAAAGAGAACTACTCCTCTACCAAAATCTTTAAGTCCCTTCTGCTCTTGCAAATTACAATTACAATACATATATAATAACAAACAATTGCTTACTTTTATTTGCAAAACAAGAAGTCAAGTTCTTCTACCTTCTCTACCTATTATATTAGGTACCCTTTTATCTCTTTCTTTTTATTTTTGGTTCACAACCTCTTTACTTATTTAACTGTTGTTTTGAAGAAGAAAAAATGCCTTCTTTTTCACCTAATTATGCTTGAAATTAGTATGATTTGTAATCAGATCTCAAAAATTTCAAGATTTTTTTATAAATCTTCTGTTTCTGCTCATTTTTCACCTGATTATGCTTTCATTTGATGTTGGGTTCTCCTTTTTTTTTTTAAAAAAAAAAAATCCTTCTACATGATATAAATGATATTTCTTGGAACTTGGAAATGGTTAATTTTATCTTGGATCTTTATATTTTGTTCAATAATAATATGTGTCTTCTTTGATTGTCTCACTGTTTTTGACCTGCAAATTTTTCTTTGTATTATATAACTTATTATTATGTTGCTTCTTTGTTCTGTGCAAATTCAGTACATTGAGCTCTTCCAAAAGTTTCTGAAGAAATAATCATCATTTTAACATTAGGTAAACTTTTGTGTCAATTACTTAACTTTTGATTATAAGGAGATAATATTACTTGACTTGATTATATGTTGTCTGGTTTTCTCTTTGATTACATAACTTGATGTGTTTAAGGCTCTAAATTATGGACAATTTTGAAAAGAATTTAACTTATATCGGTGTTAATTTACTTGTCGTAGTTCGTTACGTGCTGTATTTTCTAGGTTACTAATTCAATTAATTATAGGCAATTACCTGTAGTTATCTTTTAAGTGATTGATAGTGTAAAAGATCTTTTGTCAGTAGAAATTCTAGTTAAATCTGGAGTATTTCTTCTACCTATATAAATATGGTGTTTCCCAATGGGGCTACACTATTATTCCCTCCGTTCAATCTATGTGGTGTAACTTTATTCGGCAGAGAGTTTAAGAAAAAAAAGAAACATTTGAAACTTGTGCTTTAAAAAGCTTAAAGCGTAAAAGCTTTTGTGGGACCTTCAATTTGTGTTATTATAAAAGCTTTCTCATTAAGGGTAAATTAGGTAAAATAAAAAAGTTTTGTTTTCAAATATAGAAATGTATCATTCTTTTTTAAACAGATTTATAAGGAAAATATGTCAGATAAATTGAAACGGAAGGATTATATCTTTTGTCGTGGACCAATTTAGTCTTCCTTGTTTCTGTTTTAGTGGTTGATGTATTCATTCATTGACTAGGTTCCAGTCCAATATGGGCCTCTCACAATATCCAGCTCCAGCAGATGCAGGAGTACTGTGTGTGATTCTTGTAAACACAGCCATATCTATTTCCATTGTCAAGGAGATAGTCCGATCGATCCTTCACGTTATTGGCATCCATATCGCATCATGGGAAGATTATTCTTTTGAAGGATCATTTGAATGCCGCGGAAGCCCATCAGAGTCATACATGGAGGAGTTTAGAAGCCGAACACCTGCATTTCGTTATGACTCGGTGTGTATCTCTAACCACCCTGAGCAAGAATGCTCTGTGTGCCTGACTAAATTCGAGCCTGACACAGAGATAAACCGTCTCTCCTGTGGCCATGTTTTCCATAAGCTGTGTCTAGAGAAGTGGCTCAAGTATTGGCATGTAACTTGCCCTCTTTGCAGGAAACACATGATGCCTCACGAGCAAGAGGACGATACATGTCCAATGTGAGATTAAGTGTTTTATGATGCCACTTCATCCTTTTGAGGATGTTCTTATGTACAGCTTAGTAGTGTGTACAAGCTGAGTATGTGGATGCTTGATCTTTGGCGCAATGTAGTCCTATAGCTTGTTATATTTTGTGATGCTTTGCGTCCTCTCTGAGTGACGGGTCTCTTTGTTGTGACCAAAAACTTATACATTGTTGTACATAATGTAGTCCTATAGCTGGTTATATTTGTGATGCTTTGCGTCCTCTCTGAGTGACGGGTCTCTTTGGTGTGACCAAGAACTTATACATTGTTGTACATATATTACCGAAGCTGTCTCTTATGTTCAATCTTCTACAACCAAACTAAGGCAATTGTATCTCTCAATTTGCTAGATAGAGTGAAATCTCACATGATTCTGATAGTTTCTTTGTATGAAAATCACCAGAAAAAGGTGAACAAAGAAGGTTGAAAAGGAATTTTCAGGTTCAAGTAAAATGCATCTTCTTGATATATTTGTTTTTGGTTTAAGCTTGATTTGCTTCTCTTTTAACTTTCTTTTTAATGCACTAACAAAGTTAAAAAAGGCAGCCCGCTGCACTAAGCTCTCGCTATGTGCGAAATCTGGGGAAGGGCCGGACCACAAGTCTATTGTACGCGTACAGCCTTATCCTCCATTTCTACAAGAGGTTGTTTCCACGGCTCGAACCCGTAACATCCTGGTCACATGGCAACAACTTTACCAGTTACACCAATGCACTAACAAAGTTGCTTCATATTTTCTTCCTTTTGACTGCAGCAACCAAGAAAAGAGGTAAAACACTCCTTTTTCTTTTTTGGTTATCTTAAAGGTGGGGGTTTATGAATTGTATAAAAGAAACATGTGCAACCATTTAACTAAGAATCAACCACGATATAGATACACAACCTATCATTCTTCATCAATTTACAATCTCAGTTATCAATTAACACAGTTCTTAATGAGTAAGTAAAAAAGATAAAATATTATGAAAGGACAGCTACAAAGCAAATTATTAGATGCTTAATGCTTTTCATCTGTGAGAGAGCCTTAATTGGTGAAGCTACCCTGTGCTGAACATGCTATGAGTAGGTCATTTTCCAGCTATGTTGCGCGAACTCTCCAAAATGCTACCGCATTTATGTTGGATCCTCCAAAAATGCACTACTTTTGGAGGATCCGACATGTGCCTGATGACATTTTCGGAGAATCTGAGCAACATTGCTTTCCAGTAGCCAACTCAGAGAGTTTCGAGCCAACTGACATGCTAGTGCGAGTCAACGCAGGGTTCCTGTGGTATCTGCACCTGAAAGAACCTGCATGTGTAGTTGGTGAGCACAAGCAGCTGTACCTTACACTTGATGTCTTTCGCAATGCTGACGGTGAAGAAGGCGTCGAGGATGGTAATGGTGGTGAGTTCTTCACTGCCTCGAGGCATATATGTGGTAGATTTAACTTCTTCTTCTTAGTTTGTTCAATATTGTGAACTGATTGTTCAGCCATAGTTGGTTGTGGTTGTTCAGCCATCCTTCAGCAGATTCTGCAGAAGAAATTAATAGATATGAACAAGAAATTCTGGATTGACTATGAGGTAGAGTAGGGTGGGGTCATGTTATGCATGAATATTCTTATGTGTCATGTGAAATCTTGATTCCTGAATTAAACATCCTAGTTCACGGGTTCGAGCCATGGAACCAGACACTAAAGCTTGCATTAGGATAGGCTGTCTATATCACATCCCTAGGGGCGCGGCCCTTCCCCAATCCCGCGTAAATGCGAGATGTTTTATGCATCGGGCTGCACCTTTTAGTTCAATGTGTATGACATTGATGCACAAACAAAAATTAGTCCCTGTCTCAAAATAAGAGATTGATGTTTTATTTTGTAGATGTCATTCCTTCTTCTTTTTTCTTTCGTTTGTACCGGAATGATTGAAATTCATTAGAAATAGCCCCTTTATCTCCGAGAGGCAGGGTAAAGTTTGCGTACATACTACCCTCCAAACACCACTATGTGAGATTACACTGAATTTGTCGTTGTTGTTGATTAAAATTCATTAGATAAATCTTACTGGAAGCATCGAATTCAGTAGATACTAAATCCTATCTTGAAAATGTGTTTTCTTCTCTTTGATTTTCTTACCGATCTTCTCCAGTTTGACAGAAAAATATGAAAAGTATGGTAAAAGAGTTAAAATTATCTGATGGAGTATCCATGCATTTTTTAAGGATCCGAGTCAGCACACCATATAATCTTATAATGTTGCCATCAAGAAAATTTCTCATAACACTTCAGAAGGAAAGGGAAGAGATTGTAAGAATACAAATCCCATCTTCAGAATATTGCCAAGAAAAATAAGGAACATGAAAAGTACGCCTCCCTTTTAAACAAGTTAGAATTGGCTATATGAATTTTCACAATCTATATACTCCATTTAAGCCCGTCTCACAAGGGAATTATAAGACGGAAAAAATAACAAAGAAATTAAAAGGACCAAGAGATATAAAAATCAAAACAAGAATAAATAAACAAAAAATAGAACTGGAATATTGAAAAGTTAATTTAATACCTGGAAAATACAAAGGCTGGAGAATGTGAGATGCAAAAAGGGGTTAATTAGATGAAAATATTATACTCCTATATGAAAGGAAATTGAAGAAGAAAAGAGAGAGAGAAGAGGAATGTTTTGTATTGTTTAATTAGGACTCTTTTAGTTAATCAAAAACTAATTCCTTTCCGTATTTGACTCTTTCTTAGTTTGAGATTTGAGGTTTTCTCCAGATCCTTGCCTCACTCTGAGGTTGATCTCTTTTCTTTTTTCTACACCACTATTTTTCTATTTTAAATAAATCTTGTATTATAATTGTATGGATTTAACTTATACACGCTAAAAGTTTTAAGAATATTATCAGTATATTTTAACTTTTTATAGCAGTTACATAGTACATTATTTTTCAGGTTCCTAATCCCACTTTTTACGGACCGTTAATTATAATTATTTTTTAGGTGATATGGAATTGTAAAAATTCTTCTCCGTGCATTATACATGTTTTACATCAAATTTAGGAATCTTTATTTTCATTATTTCATATATTTCTTTGAATGCATATCAAGTATTTTTCTAAATTTTCTTAATTATTATTCCAGTAATGCCAGATTTATGTATTCAGTCAATAAGATCCTATTAATCTCACTCAAAAAGACACTGATTGCGAAATTCTATATTTGATTAGAATTTGCAAATTTTATTGAGAAAAACAAAAGTGAATTATTTTGTTAAGGAACTCCTCATTTTGCATATTTGTCATTATAGATGCAAACTAGAAATGATTTTAAGATAGTGGAAAGTTGCTAAAGCTATAAAAATTATTCCTCTTTTTCTCTTTATCAATTTTCTACTATTAGTTGTCACTATATCATTAGCCAAAAGAAGAAAATTTCCATGGATAAAAAGAAAGAAGAAATTTTTTTATGCATTTTTCACTTTACGTCCTCGTCTTCCTATATTTACTTCGAGAATAAATGGCCATTTTCCTTTATTTGACGTCAACTTATATATACTTTGAGAATAAATGGTCCTTTTCCTTTATTTGACGTGGATTGTAGTAGGTTGACGGCCGACATAAAACTAGTTAATTTATGATAAATCTTCACAATATAAAATGTGTTGGGATGTGCTCACCTAACTATACTTAACACATAAAATGAACAGCGAGAATTGATATAATAAATTCCAATTTGGGATTGAGGCGTCGCCATTGTATAATAAGGTAGGAAGGAATAGCTTGTCAGGTGAGGGGAGTAGTATGGGAAAAGAATTGAATTCGGATTAATCAGACCAGTAGATTTCAGATAATTCCTACCACATCTATTAGCCTGTCCTATACAAAAAATCTCACATACACAAATTGTCAAAAATAGAATAAAATGACATTTCAGACACAAATGATTTGGACGTTAATTTACCTTATCAAAAAAGAAAAGGGGAGGNATAGGTAACTAGGCCTCATTTTTATCCTTTCTTATCTCAAGTTCAAGATAAAGGCTATAACTACTCGGAATTCCACAGAAAACCATCAAAGTTCCAAAAACTGCAGATTTTATCAAATATTTTTCTTTGATGCAAAGGCGAACCTTGGAGCAACGGAGAAGTATTGGCATTTCTACAGGTGACAAGAGTTCGTATATTGGAAGCAGCCTCTCCAATAAGGAAGTAATGCAGTCTATATTTGCCTTTCCCCGAGCCAACCTGGACAAGAGCGCCTTCTGTCGCTGGACAGTGGCGTAGCCACATAGAGGGAAGGATGGTCAGTTGAACACCCTTCATTCGAAAATTATACTGTGCAAATAGAAAATTGTATTATGTATATAGGTCAAAAGTTACTTCTTGTACATATACATTAAACATCGAACACCTTTAGCAAAATTTCTAGTTTCGTCACTGTTGTTGGAGTCCGCCATATGCTGCTCTTTCGCATGATAAAGAAGTTGATGTATGAGATATTGAGTTTGTCATTAAAAGCCATAGCACATAGTTATTAATAGGATTTCTCATGTCTTCTTTTATCTTCAGCCAAAGGTCTATCGGAAACAGCCTCTCTACCCCCACCAGGGGAGAGGGGAGGGGTAAGGTCTGTGTACACACTACCCTCCCCAGACCCCACTTGTGAGATTATACTGGGTTGTTGTTGTCGTCGTCGTCTCATGTCTTCTTTTAGCACAATAAAAGATGGGTAACTACTTCCTGTTATTTTCAGCTACAGCTTCAAATCCACCTCTTCAGAGAGTTTATAATGTACTGAGAGACAAATGCCAATAATTACAATGGATTCTAATTCCTTAAGAAATGAGAAGATGCACTTTAGACAATCTGCCCATCTTAATAACACAGCAAAAGTAAGAACTTCATTTTCCTTTTGCATGATCCTCTTTATGTTAACAACTTGAATAATAGCATTACTTTATTGAAGGTAGGGTGTACGCAGACCTTACCCCTACCCTGGAAGGGTAGAGAGGTTATTTCCATTAGACCCACGGCTAAAAAAAAAAAGATGAAAAGAAGCAGCGGCAACAAGCAATAGCAACAATAAGATATTAACAAGACCGAAGCGAAAAGATAGCAATCAAACAGTAGGTAGGGACAGCGATCCAAGATAGGAACACAAATAACATTTTGATTACCAAATGAAGGATGTGCAAGTGTGAATCAGACGTCTATAACAAAACTGAAGAGGTACAAGCTAATGAAACAATTTTTACTTTTCAGAAAAGAAACTAATACCAAAAATTTCCTAAGACATAGAGACGTACATGGATTAGCTGGA